GGGCCCGCGCCTCGCTCCGCCGCGCGGCCGCGGCGAGCCGGTACGAGGGAGGAGCGGGAGGCCCCGCCAGGCGGCGGCCGCCTCCTCGCTGTTAGCTGCACGGTTGAATATTTTTCTGCTTATTGTTTTTTTTTGTTGTTGCTGTTTGGGGGTTTTGGGGGGGTTTTGGTTTTTTTGCTTTTCCCTAGGCGGGAAACTCAAGGCGCTTGACGGCGCGTCCCGGCGGGTGGGAGCCGGTCCGTACTGGTGGCGTGGGCGGTGCCCGCCTCAGCAGCCGTTCACGCCGTGGCACAGCGGCCCGGCGTCCGAGCCCGAGCTGTGGCTGGTGGAAGGATGCTCTTTGGCGAAACCTGTCAAAAGATGTGACCCTAGGTGGAAATTGGGGAACGGGCTTGCATACCGACCGGGTTTTCTTTCTGGGAACAGTTTCTTGAAACTGTGAGGCACAGGTTATTTTGGGGTACTTAAGGATGCTGGTTCCTTTGTAAATGCATAGCCAGAATCTGGCTTATTCCATTGCAGACCTATGGTGGAACAAAGGCAAGCTTTAATGCCAGGTGCGGTATGTTATATTGCTAAAACTTTAATATGATAGATACATTGGTTCGTCAGAGTTTAGGACTTCTTAGTTACCACCAAACAATTAAGAGTATCAACCACGCTAGCTAGTCCAGCGTGATTTATAGCGCTCAGCAGCCAAAGAATTTTAACAGTGAAAAAACCCGTGCATTTTCTGTTGCCTTCCTGCACAGTATCTACTCTGCCCAAGGTCCTGCAGCATCTTACTTGGCAGTAGCTTCACCAAACCAACATCTGCCAGTACATTTGCCCATTGCTTTAATCTGAAAATCTTTTAGGTTCTCCAGTTTTATGTTAAAGGTATATTAATTCATCTCTGGTAGTTGGGGATGCTGAATCACTGATACTCATAGAAGTAATATACCTTCATATAGTCTCTACTCTGATGCTTACTCTGAGTTACTACTGTTCATTCATGTGATGCTTTTATGCCCAAAAGAAGAAGGAGAAAAGGTGGTGGTAGTAGTAGTAGTATATTAGCAATTAGGCAAAATTCAATTAATACAGTGAGAGCATATATAGTAGATTGGGCATAGGTTATAACAGTGATACACAGCAGTCCTTATCTGAGGATATGGTCTGCAGCCTGCAGTTGTGTGATGAGGTTTCTAGTCTGTGAAATTTTAGATCACAGGGCTTGCATTTTGTGCGTGTCTGTAGAGCCACCCATTGCCTGTCTTCTAGCTGCTTCATTTGTGCAATTTTATTCTAGTACATTACTTGGGAAGTACATTCTTGAAGGAAAGCACCATGTATTCCTTTGTTGTTTTAAGAAGCATTTGTTACATTAAGCTGTCCTAAATATAGAAATAGGGGGCCACGTACTGTAAAAATAGTCCAGGGTCAAGAGTGCACCAAATGCTCATCATACATGTCTAGTGCAATAAAGCAAATCAGCTTTTGGAGCTTTCTGCACACATTCAGTGCACTAACATAAGTCATTTGATGGTAGGTAGATTTGTACTTTTTCGAAAAGTGAAACTTCCAAAAGAAGTTGGATGTTATGTGCTCTCATTCAAAGAGCACTCTGAACATCACATGATATGGAAAGTGGCTGTTAATTGAAAAGGGGTAAAATTGTTAGGGTAGTAAGGCCTTTAACACTGTATCAGGAGCTTCCTTGCTTAATTAGTCCTTGAGAAGTTCAGTTTTAATGATGTGAAGAAATAGTTGTCTGATTTAATGGATCTTTCTCTGTCCCTTTTTTTTTTTCTTTAAATAGTATTGTCAGAAAAGCCAACAACTTTCACAATCACTGTGACATCTGAAGCAGGAGAAAATGATGAAAGTAAGTTGATCATGTCTTAAACATATACAGGATGAGTTTCTGTGTAAGCCTAATTCTATCACCAACAACTAGGTACACATCCACTTAAGTCCTTTTAGGGGCCTAATCCAGCAGATACTACTCAGAAAACATAGTTCAGGGATTCTGGTGATCTGTGTTTAGTTTACAGAAATGTTGAGCTCTCTTCACTAGGGCTACTTTCTGACATGCTGCATCTCAAATGCTTTGTAGCATAGCTTAAAAAATTATGGGTTGTAATCATCCCCATAGGATCTTACAGCCATGTGGTGAGGTGTGGTTTGGGGTTTTTTTTGTTTTGTTTTTTTTAGCAGCTGTACATACACCAGCCACATGGGAGAGTTGGGTGTGTACTGTGAGGATGCAGCCCTTAAGGAGCAGTTCCAGAGCAACAAGCTGTGGGTCCCCAGTCCCTGTGTATTTGTTGGGTATCAGTGGTTGCATGGGCTTGCTCCAACTAAGTTTGAGAGCTGCTCTTCTGGGTTAAAGTATCAGAGAAAAGAAACTGGTGTTGTCTCCTTCAGCTTTAAAGGAGTGAGTCCTGCTCAGAGCAGGTGTCTGTGTTGAAGAGACTGCTGGGCTGCCTGGACTGTGAGTCTGGAACTCAAGGAAGTCTTCTATCTGGTACACTGACAGGATGCATGAAAGGAACCAGATTCTCTTTTGCCTTGTTTCCGTATTATCCTAGCTCTGGGTGCCTTCAGGTTGAATGCATTCTCCTTAGGCAGTTCTCTGCTTAGTAACTTCTACTGAATGTTGTGTCCTTGTCATATGATTTATGTGGAGCCCTGGTATCCAACACAGAGGTTGATACTCCAGCCAGACACACAGAATTTAAAGCACTGATATACTGAGGTTCTCTCTAGATCTGTTGTTAGGACACTTCCTCATTTTTTCCAGCTTTAAGTGGAATGTGAGGGGGGAGGGAAAGATTACTGCTGTATTACCCACCGTACCATGGAAGGTTTTCCAGTCTTTGTGAAGACCTTTCAGACATTAATAGCCTGTGACAGTTTATGTAAGTTTAAACTTTGTCTTAATTTCTCAGAACTCTTGCACATAAAACTGTTCATATACTTTTAACATCTGTGTAAGATGACTGTTCCATTAAGGTAATAATATTTTATATTTTAAAATATTTAGGCTGCTGATGCATCAGAAAAATATGCAACTAAATTTATATAGAGTTATCACCATAAGAATATGTGTTTTTATCTTGTAGCTGTCCAAACAACCCTTAAATTTACCTATAGAGAAAAATATCCTGATGAAACTCCACTTTATGAAATTGTCTCACAGGAGAATCTTGACGATAATGATGTCACAGACATAATAAAACTACTAGAACAACAGGTAAGGAAAATGGAATATCTCAGTTCAGATTGATACCACTCCACACTTTAGCCAGAATTTCTCTTTCACATCAGTTGTTTTCTGACATATGTGCTACTGATTTGAAATCTATTCCATACTGTAGGGACTGGCTTTGAGGTTTGAGTTCGTGAATGATATTATTGAGGTAAATTATGTTAATGAGGTAAAATACAGGGCTTATTCAATAGACACAGGTGTGATAATGAAATGGCAGTCCTTTAGGGCTTCCCTTCTCTTGCAGTTCTAGCTTACGGTGAATTTGTTTTAACTGTGTATATATAGTATTTGTGGAAATAAGTCACTTTAATTTTATTTGGAAAGATTAAAAAATGCTACATTGATTTGTGATTCTTTTAAATAACTATGTGGGGAGGGATCTCTTCAACCTTTGGGATCAGTGAGAGTGCATTGTTAAAGAATGAGAGGGAAACGCTTCTTTGGTTTCAGGAATTCTTGTCAAGACCTCCCTGCCTTAAAATTGCCATAATACTTTCAGTAGGCGTTTTTTTCTTTTCAGGAATAAGCCATTTTGGAGAGATGTTCTGGGTGACTGTTGTCTCATGATTTATGATATTCAAATTCTGGAGTTGTATTAATGTTATAGGTTTTGTTTTATTCATGAAAAAGCCTTCCGGATGTCTGGATATCAAGATATGTTGATATCCAGACATCCAGAAGGCTTTTTCATTCTTCGTCTTCCAGATGTTGATAGCCTGAACATAGGTGTTCAACGCTGGTGTTCTGCTGCACACCCATTTGGGGAGGGGTAATTTAACTGGATTAACTGGCCAATTGACTTGAATTTTACAATGAGCTCTTGAGACTAGTGCAGAGTTCTTTATCTGCATTTGCACATCATACTGCTTTCTAAACATTAGCATTCAGTCGCTAAAGCTTGGAACTTCTACTCTTTGAAGCTGCCTTCTTTGTGTTGTAGGCAGAAGAAAATTTAGGAATGGTAATGATCTTCACTCTAGTCTCAGCAGTACAGGAGAAATTAAATGAAATAGTGGATCAAATAAAAACACGAAGAGAAGAGGAAAAGAAACAGAAAGAAAGAGAAGCAGAAGAAGAGGAGAAAGTATGTAAAATAATGTTTTCAACTAAAAATTCCCTGCTTTTTTTAACTGTGTGGGTTTGATGCAGGAGGAAGTCTCAGTTACAGTGGGAGAGGAACATCTATCCCAAAGTTGATACAATTAAAATTTAAGGACTAGAAGATTCTGTAGTGAACTTAAGCGATTATTTTTTTTCCCCTGTTTTCTAAAGCAGTCTTTTCAGAGATGTGTTGCATGTTCACAATCCCTTCTAGCATTACTTTCTAAGGCAGAGGCAGGGATTTTTCCTTAATTAATTCAAAGTTGCTGTAGCCAGTTTTTTGCTTGAAGAGGCAAGAGGGGATGGGAGCAAAACCATCTAGAGTATGGCATGCTGCACACAGGCTGCATGGTCTAGGGAAGCATCTCTTCCTTGGTAGACTGAGTGGAAGCAGTGGGACCGGTCTTCAAAAGGGGTTTGTCCTTCCTGCACATGTCCTCTCTCCTAGCCACTATGAAATAGTTTTTCCATCCATGGAGTGTGCTGTGGTTAAGTCTGACTACTGCATCTTCACTTTCTTCCTCAGAAATAGCTAGAGGGTGATGGGACTTGGAAGGTTCAGTATTTCTGAAAATGGCAGAAAAATAACTGGACGAAAAGAATTATTTTTCTGACTCAACAAGATAGAAGTGTTAATGCATTTTAATGGAAAATATTTCAGTGTAGATTGCATTTAAGAGTTGATAAGAAGTGCTGCCTACTTATGGATAGTTGCTAACTATTGCACTGTAGGTCCAAAAGTAGTACAAAAGGTTTTTCCGTAAGAATTTCCACCTCAGTACAGCACTCTGAAGGGAGAGTCCCATGACAAAAAACAGTAAGAATGTGTTCGTTGTATATTCAGGGTTAGAATTAATTTCTTGGAATACTTCACAGCAAGCAGTGCTTCTGCAATGTTGTAGTTTAAATAACTAAGAGAACACTCACTTTCACTGGTAGCTTTGCAAGTTGTGTTTGCAGCCTTGTTTTCTGTTCTTTCAGCAACGTTTTCATGGCACTCCTGTTACCATTGAGAATTTCTTAAATTGGAAAGCAAAGTTTGATGCAGAACTCCTAGAAATAAAAAGGAAAAAGATGAAAGAAGAAGAACAAGCAGGCAAAAATAAATTAAGCGGTATGATTTAAAACTGGTCCTGAAGTTTTTGCAATGTTACCCACTATAACAGCAAGCCTAAAAGTAATTTTTACACTGAAAGATGATGGTAATCAGTAAACTTGTAGTGCAGTGTTTGATTATTGTCCTCCATGTCACGTGAAGTCTTTCTGAGTGCTGATTTTGGGTTAAATACAAAGCTAATAGATTCAGGATTTCTGCTGAAGTCATTAAGGTTCCCAAACTGTGTGTTTAAGCTGCTTCAGTTTTGTGCCAGACAGTATACAAATGGGACCTCTACTGACAAGCATTGTTCTGGCAGAAATAGTTCGGGTTTGTTAAACAACAGAAAATTGACATCGGACAGTTTATCGATCTGGCCTTTATTGCACTGGATCGTAGTTACTTCAGATTATTCCAGCGTATGTACGAGTTTGGGATGCTGTTGCTAGACTGAAGCGACACAGGCTGGCTGCTGCATATGGCAAGCTTACAATGACTAGTGAAAATGGCTCTTATATTTTGGGGAAGAGCTTGTCATAGCAGTGGTTCTGGGCCCTATATTTTGCAGATCATTTTGTCCAGCAGAAAGAAAACTCTGTATCCAGTGGGCAAAATGTGGAGGAAATTACTTTTCTTATTAGAACCTGTAGATAAGAATTAAATGGTGAGCATTCTCCTTCACACTCCCCATGACTTAACTTTGGACTGATTCTCCTGTGATGTTGGATCTATTTTTTAACCTGATTACCTGAGAAAACACGATCAATGTGATTATGCTGTATCACTGTTATCTTTTCTCCTCCCTTCTGAAGGCTTTTGAAACTTTTGGCTAGTTTCATTTTGATGAAATCTGACAGAGAAATGGAAATTTTAATGGTAATAAGTTTCTTGAAAAGCTCTACAGGACAGGGGACATTCTTGATTCCCCTCTGAAGGGAATGCATTTGGGAATCTGCAAAGATGAGATAGTAGAAATCTGCTTCTTCTAGTTTTCCTGTTCTTAAAATTGTTAGCATGCTGTGTCTGTCTTCCTCTATACAAGTCTAGTTTATAAAAGCTCCCTTGTACTAAACTAAAAATAGACTTATTCTCAGATGTCATGAGTGTAACCCCAGTAGAAGAAAAAGCATCTTAAATGTTTTATCATGAACACCAACCAGTCTTGCTTGTCAGCAGAAGCTTGCATAAGCAGTGCAAATATAGATGAAAGATGTGTAGTTTATGTGGAAAAAGTCCTGAGCTTTTCTTCCCCTACCTCCCAGTTGGAAAGGCTTCACTTTGTCTTGTGTGATGTTTCCTTCACAGATGTGTGTGTGTGTGTGTGTGTGTGTATGTGTATAGGAGCTGGTGATTTGTGTGTAGATCCAAGTTGCTTTTTAAATGGGGACGATATATAGAAAAATGTGGATGAGGCAGCTAATTTCCCTTCCAGTTCCCACAGAAAATTTCTTGTGAAATGCAAGATGAGGACTAAAGCATTAAGGACTGAGCAAAGCCTGTGGAGCAGTATCATATAGATTTTCCCACCCCACCACTACTGAAGTCTTAGTAACGTTAAAGTGACTATAAGAAACAGTGTCCCATTTCACATGAAAGAGGACGAAGCCTGTTGGTGTGGAAGAATCCTGAATCGATAGTCAAAAAGTCAGAATGGGGAACTTACAGAAATGAGCAGCTTAAAAAAAAGAACACTGCTCAAAAAGCCTGAAATAAATGTGCAAACTATTGTTGCCTTAGGTTGATAATTATTTCAGAAATCTACTTGCTCATATATTGTTTTTTATTTTATTTCTAGGTAAACAGCTGTTTGAAATGGATCACAACCTCGACACCTCTGACATCCAGTTCTTGGAGGAAGGTAAATTTCCTTTTTGTTTCCACAACTGAAAGACAGTGGCTTAAAATAGGTCGAAATTCCTAAGCAAAATCTGTATTATATTTCTGACTTAACATCTTACCTCAGCATCACTTACACATCAGAAGAACTTTCTAAGAAGTACTGGTTTGTAGATTGAACAGAAGTGATTTTAACTTCTTTCAAAAACAAACAAAACATTTTCAGGATGCTAAAGCATATTTATTTGCAGTTTTGAACTTGAGTTGATCTTATTTTTGTTGCTTCTATTCAAGTATTTGGACTGGAAGCAAAGTCAAAAAACCAAGCAAAACAAAAAACCCACAACTAGGCTCTACCAGGCCCTGCTGCTTCTCTTTTTCTAATAGCCAGCCTTCGTAACTCTAACTTCAGGAAGCACAGATCTTGAAGTTCTATTTCCTTCTTTTTGAACTTCAACACCAGTAGTAAACATCTTGCAGGTCAAATTAAATGATATTTGCCTCTGTGCAACCCAGTTCTTTGTGGTTTTGTCCAGATTTATCTATTACCTTGCCAAAAATACCTGACCTGGTGCCAGCTGAAAATTTTGTAAGCCTGTGGAAAATCTGTTGGAGAGAAATCAAGTAAATGTACTTACAGTCACATATCTGGTTAATTTTCTGTACTGCTTTTTAGTATCCTAGTTAAAAAAATATTTTTAAGTTAAGGCAATTCTTTAATGTAGCTGCGTTATCTACTGATACTGCAAAACATGCAGAAGAGAGTCAAGAATTTTCTCTGCAAGTAACAGTTTAAAAATAAAAAAGTTGTTTATGAACATTAGTGAGTATAAACTTGAAATGGCAGTAATGGATGAGTTGAGTTTGTTTTAGTTAGAGGCATAGTTTAACCTTCCTCCAAAATGCCTAAAGTGAAGATGGGTTGTTGGCAGAACAGGTGGCAGTCTCGAGGGAGGAACAGACCTCTGTATTTGGGCTCTGTGTCCAAATGATTTGGGATTAATGTATTAACTTTTAATCCCGTTGCTATCAGTGATTAAAAACTCCTGTTCTTATTGCTGTTTGCATTCTATCATAAATGCACCAGATTAATAATTGCAATTTAATATTACAATACTGTGTAATAAGTAATACTAATTTTCACAGCTTAAACAGTGTAATGGCATTATCTTTTAGATGGAAACAGTTACAAAGAAAGGTTCTTAGAAATCCAGTGATAGAACCTTATTCAGTGGCCAGGAGATGTCGCTGCTGATACACACAAATAAAATAGTAGACTTCTTTCATCCTTAGGTCTGCAGCATCTCTTTCAGAAGAAAATGTGAAAGCTTGCAAAGTTTCATCTTGCTTCTAAAATTTAAATCTGAAAGAAAATGTATGTATGTAGCCATATACGTGGTGTAAGGGTAGATTTTTAAAATAAACCGTCTGTGTTTCTGTGGCTGTGGTAGTTGTAACTATTCCAGCTGTGAGGTCCTGAGCTCCTGCTTTGACACCTGGGAGAAAGAATCTCTTCTTCTGGGAACTATAAATGTTAATTTCATTCTCTTAATGGGTTCTGAGGTCCTGTGTGATGTTTTTCTTGACTGAATTTTGGTATGAGGAAAAAAAAGCTTCATTTTAGTTGTAAAAAGATAAAATGTGACATTTTCATTTCCGTATCTACTTGATATATAAAAATACAAGTAAGTTCACAGCTACCTACCTACACTGAAGAATGAATATGAAAAAGTGTTGTGTGTTTTGTTGTTCAGATGTTTTTCTACTTGCATGAAAATAAGTAGTTTTTCTGTTCTTTGCAGCTGGTAACAGCGTGGAGGTTGATGAATCTTTATTCCAAGAAATGGATGATTTAGAGTTGGAGGATGAAGAGGATGACCCTGACTACAACCCTGTTAATTTAGACAGTGATTAGACTTTTTTTGAACTGGCTCTGTCATCAGTATGGACATATGTAAGGAGAGAGGGGCAGGCAGGAAAGCCACAGCATCTGTGGTTTTAGTAATGTGTCTTTTTTTCTTTTTTTCCAAAGAAAAATAACCAAAATATTTTAAATCCAGGAGAATGGTCTTCTGATGACTCATCGTAAATAAATTTAATATTACAAATTAAAAATTTGATGAATAGTGATCTGTCTGAAAATACTATTCTATATTCTCTTATTTTTCCTTCTCACTTCTGTAATTATCCTTTGAAGAGATGTGACAACGAGCAAAATGGAAAGATGTTACATCAAGTGCTAAATACATCTGTATCTGAAGGCTGAGCAGCTGTTCTGCTACCTTCCACCTGGGATATTATACAGGGGCACCTTTGGTGAATAAAAGGGATCACATACTATGCAGGGATTTTTTTCTTGTTTTGTTTTTTCTTCTGTGGAATTTTATAACACTTCAAGTCAATTCTGGTGCCCCAGCCTATCAGCTGTAGATAGGCAGCACTAGTCACCTTTTAATAAGGCATAGCCTTGTTAAAGTTTAATGGAAAACACTTCCATACTACTAGAGTAAAATCTTTTGCTGTAGTTGAGGATAATCGTTTCAAAATTACTAGTTCAAGTTTGTAGGAAAAAAAATCAGAATGAGATGAAGTCCTCTTAAAAAGTTCAGTTGACTTGTTCAGAGAGGGTTGTGGGGGTTTTTTTTGAACTTGTGCATCTATGAACTTCCATGGGGGATAAAAAGCCCACCACCCTATGAAAATTAATTTGCTTTTGGCAACAGACTGTGTCGAACCACGTATCAGTGAAGTGCAGATTACAGTACCAGGATTTACGGAGTGCTTATAGGTTTGTAACGAATGTAATGGATGTTGTTTTAGAAGCACCTGTTGACAGCCTATAAAGGTTAGCACAATGTATGGTAAAGCTACACAACAACTCAAGGATGTTGACCAGCCTGCAGAGTTGCTTATGGAGGTTACAGCCTGATGTTAGATGATTCCTCCCTTCCCATCTCCAAAAATACCAAAACACTGTGAGAACTGCAGTGTTTACACATGCTGTGTTTGAGGCTGCTTCAGCTGATGACAGTATGGATGAAGGTTTCAAAAGACAGCTCTGGAGAACCACTAGGCACTTCAATGATTAAACACTGTGTGCTGAATTTTAAAATACTGTTAGTAGACTGCCTTAACTGTGCCAGCTTCAGCCTTTGAAGAAGGTTGCACTAAAGTGTCACAGTGCTTAGAGAAGTAATAAATCTATGAATTTTAATGTTTGGAAATTCCATGTTCAAAAAGAAATTTAATACCGGAAATAATTTAATGGTGTATAAGATTCTCTGCTCATATCACTCAAGAACATGTTTGGGATGATCTCCTTTAATGTGTTTCAGTAGTCTTTTTGTATTAAAAATGAATGAGTTTCTAGTAGATAAAAATAAATGTTCAAGTACCCTGTAAATACTTTTATAAATTAACCATGTGCCTTTGTTCCTACTGTCCTTTATTTGATCTTTTTAGTTTTGACTACTGTGAATTCCAGACAAGCATCGAGGTTTCAATGATGATGTATGTTTCAAAGCAATAAGCAGGATCTGTGTTCCAGCAGATTTACCAAATATATTAAAAAATTGTGAGCTAATGTGGTATAGATCTGACTTTTCCAAAGAAACGGTTGGACTAAAAGCCTCATAGTGACTACATTCAGCTTCTTGTGTAGTTGTTAGGATGTTTTAATTTGCTTTTTAGCACTGAATTTAATTTGCTTCTGGTATGTCTCAAGTCAGCTGCATAAAAAACATTTAACTCCTAAGGCTGCTTTCTCTTTTCAGCTATGTATCTTTAAAACTGGTGGGTTTTTCATAAAAGGAGTGAATTAGTTCCCTTTAAATCTGGACTGAATCCGAGAATGCTGTGTAGTCTGAAAAATGTGGTAATCTAAGAAAATTTTCCAAGTGGGTCACTAACAAGAAGCATTGATGTATGAAACAAAGTTTCTTGTTAATGGTATTTCTAGATTAATGAGATATTTATAGTCTGTTTTCCACTAATATATTTATTGGTTTTCATGCAGAGGATGTATAGCTTTAAAATGTTAAAACAATGTCAAACAAGTTAAAACGTGAAAATGTGTTTTCACTGCTACATGTTATATTTCAAAGCAGAGGAAATGATAAGGGTTGAAGTGACAAATAATTGCGTAAAGTCTGTTCCTCCAAGTCTCTGGAAAGTTTCAGTGACTCAGTCTGAACTTCAGATTTGTTTAGCTTTGTTAGCAATTAACATCTGTGAAATAAAAGGGAATTTGAGAGTAAGCTCGGCTATGTTTGCGTGTTTTAGTTTGCTGAAATGGGCTGAGATAAGGAAGGAATTTAGGTATTTAAAGTTTACTTATGCACTTTGGATTAGATTGAAATCTAATTCATATTAATCTAAAGAAATTCCATCAATAATTTTGATGAAATTTTAGTAATTCAAAATCATGCTGCTGACAACCTTGCTTATATCTTACTTTTAACTCTCCTAAGTCCAAAGCGTACACTTATAATGTATGTAGGGAGATTATTATGAGTTGCAAACTGTACTGCAACTAGAGCCAGTTTAGTTTGGTCATGCTGAACTGTTTGAATAGTTGGTGGTGCCTGACCTCAATTAAAATTCAGAGGATGGTGCCTACCACGTCTAGATGTTGTAGGAGTGCAGTCTCAGCATGCTGCAAAGCCTAGGATTTTGCATCCAAATTATTGCATTATGGTCTGCTTTAAAGCAGACAAAACCTAAGGGCTGTATATGTCTTTTTTTCTTTTTTTTTTTTTTTTCCCTCCTTCCCTTCTTATTTTTGCCAAAAATGGGGAGTTTGGAGTACGTTTCCTGGGAGGAGAACCAACTTCAGTCTTTTTCCTAGGAGACTTATAAACATCAGGCTACCTCCAGCTTTTAAACTGTGTCATTGCCCAAAATAAATTCAAAGCTTGTTGGACCAGACAGGTAGGCTGTGCCTGGACCCAAGATGCTGATAACCTAGATCCTGAGAGAAGGAGCTGTCATATGAATGCTGTCTCCCGTGTAGCAGAATCTCACAGGGCCTGAAATATGTTTTTTTTTTTTTTAATTAGCCCTTCAGTGCCTTGCTAGTTGCTTGGAGTAGGAGGGACAGGGAAGAACTTTTCAGGTTCAGTTCTGTGACATAATTGCTTTTATTGCCATGAACTTGATTTTACTTTGTGCTGCATGTTCATGAAATCTGCAGTGATAGAGTGAGCTGATACCATTAGGATACAGTGTACAGAGCAGCATGAGGTTTATGTGGCTTTTATTACTATGCTGGGACTTCCTGTCACTGCAAAGAGTAAAGATCAAGGTTCTACTTGTAATCAGGAGTTCTGATTGTACTTATGGCAAACTTGGCAAAAGGTCTGTGTTAGGCTTCTGACTGAACTAGTTTTACCTTTTCTGTGGCCAGGGTAAATATGTAGAGGTGAAAAGATCAGTGGTCCCCCTGTTCAAACTCAGATGTCAAGGAATGGTTACGTCACATAAGGGGGTTTTTTGTAACTTTTTTTCTTTGTATTGAGGATGCAAAGTTCCAGATGGAAAGGTGATCTGGCTGTACAGTTGAAGGACATGGAAAGAGGTCACCTTTGCCTAATAGAAGCAGCTAACTGCAGTGCATGAAGTAATTCTGTCCAGAAAAAAAAGCAGGTAAAATGTATCTGAAGGCTAAAATAGGTGGGTTAAAATGAGAAGAGCGAGCTGGTCCCTTAGGACCAGTGAAAGAAGCAAACCATTATGTGAACTGGAAGGATATTTTATATTTCTGAAACAGTTTTATGGGAAAGCCAAGGTTAGATGCTCTTTGTCAAATCAAAATGATTATTTAGAATGTTTTTTAAATGAGAAGTTATATCCTGCTGTGGCTGGTTCTTAGGACATTGATGCAAGAGCAACCAAAAGTGGTCACTGTAGTTTGATGATGTAGACATCATAGCAGGAAGCAGGGATGAGGGTCCAAAACTTGCCTTCCCCACCAAGGAAGTTCAGTTGGTGCCTGGAAAAAAGTGGCAACAAAATGTTTCCTCCCTCAGATTATATTCTTTTCCTCTGACATCCTGACTGAGGCTGTGCTGAAAAAGACATTATTGGAGGGGAAAATGATAGAGATGTATCAGAGACTTAACCGTGTGTACATGGGGACGAGAGGAACTACAGCGTTAGGTTGTGAGTAGTTTCAATGCATAGAGTTGAGAAATATGCAGGAGATGGACCTCCCCTTGTAAGCAACATAAAAGGCATTAATGTCTACAAAGGTAAATATATCATAGATGCATGTCAGGAGTGGAGCTGTCAAACTTGCAAATATTTTTTGAGTTGTTGATAGTTAAAAATCTCAAGATATGTCACTGTACTTAACCTTTTCAGGGGAAGCCCATGGGCAAGCTGCTGCATGGAGCTGAATGATGGATGTGATAGTGAGCCAGTGAATATATGAGGAAGGACATAGTCATAGATAGCTGGTAGCTTTTTACTTCAGTAGCTATAGCACATCATCAGGTATGATAGAGTGGATGTTCACTTAAAAACTGCTGTGACTATGGCTTGTGTTTTTTCTCAGTATTTCAAGTAGCAAATTATCAAACATGACCTCAATAACCCAGACAATGCAATGAAATGTTTCAGTCAGTGAGTGACACCAGAGAACGCAAAATAAAGGTCACTTTAATAGCAAATGGTTGAGTATTGGTGTTTACCAAAGCAATAGAAACTCAAAAATATCAAAGCATAACCATACCCAAGCTGGTCAGTCTTGCTTACAGTCTGGACATTGAAGGTTCTACTGAAAGAAGCCTCACAAAATGCTTAAGTGAAACATTTTTCAGAAACCAATTATCACAACACCAACCTATCCTCACCTGATTGTTTACAAATAAAGCCAATGAAAGAAAAATCACACATGAAGGAAGGGAATAAGTTTATTAACAAAGTCAATTAAAATACCTTGTAAATTTACAAACAGCAAACTGTTGGAACTGCATAGCTTCCTCAGATAACTCACATTTTGTGATTGAGTTGTCATCATTATTATTTCTATAACAGAGCTGAAAATGGATGTATTTTCTTATGCCAGAACTTCAGATATGTCCATTCAGTATAAACACCAAAGGATGATGAAACTCAAAACCATGCTATATTTCATCATTAATATCCCAGATAAATTTGATGGGCAGGGTCTTAATTTTCTCATTAAGAACTTTGTCAAACCTTTCATTCTGTGCCACTGTCATGATGTTTTTCCAGTCTCCAACAGTGCCTGAGGAAAGAGACATTAAAGGCAAGTGAGAAGCAGAATGTGCATCTCTCCAAAGCTCACTGCAGAGTGCTAGTCTTGGGAAGCAATTCCTGGCTTCCTCAGCACTTCCCTGTTGCTGGCCTGCTAAGTGAGGCTCCCTGTGCTCTTTTGAGGACATGCTTCCAAATCTAGATGCTGAGAATAAAACACAGCATAGACCTATAATCCTGACTCCTCATAAAGTTATTAAACTTACTTGTTCTGGTATTTTACTGATTCCTTTGATATCAAAGAGGAAATTATTAAAAACAACACCTCCTGTTTTTCTCTCAGTGCACCACTCTAATCCCTCGAGGTCTCATCCTACACTGAATGTTAGGACACCTTAGCAATGCCCAGGAGACTGGGGATGCAATGTATGGGCTTGGAGGGTAGGTGGAAAAGAAAGTCTATGCTCGCACAATCAAGGTGACTCTTGCCTTGAAAAGTAAGAAACAATAAGTTTAAAAAAAAAAAAAGAGTTATCTTACTCCTGGTTGGGTAAAATCCTTAAATCCTTTCCTGTATCTGACAGGCCTGTTACAATCACATTAAAATGAGTAAAACATTAACTTTTTATTTTCCTTAGGAAAATATGGTCAAATCACTGATGCCACAGCAATAAAACTGCTCCTCTAGACAACTAATCTGGTCTCCCTCTGAAAATGAGGCATTCCAGCTGAGACCAGAAACCCTAGGTTCATCTCACACCAAGTAGTGTGGGATTAAATAGTTGTAGCATTGAACTGCTTCCATTTTACCTTTCCGTAGAAAACTGCCCTTGTTTTTTTCTACGATATCATCTGGCAGGTTCTCATAGTTTGCCCTGGGATCTTTTCGCATGTTCTCAAATGTAGCTTGTTTCACAACACTGTCCACTTCCTCTTCACTCAGCTTTCTGCCTAGGAAGTTGCAGATCTTCAGCACAGCACTTCTGAGATCCTGCAATAACATCACTTTGAAGAGTCTTGATGATGCAAAGAGCTAAATACATGCAGTAGTTGGAATACAGGATAATAAGGGACATACATTTGGGTGCAGAACTGACCATCGTTTTTGCATGAGCATAGTCTCGCATCAGTTGAATACTGGAGAGCAGTGATGCTGTAGCTCACTGCAGCAGTGCCCTTAGAGATGGGGAATTCTGTGTTCTGCTCCCCACATTGCAAACCCAGTCTGCATCTCATTAGATGCCCTGGCACTGTCACTCCTGGAACTGCACCTGTCACTGTGAAGGCAATCAACCCGTGGAGTCTTTGTCAGTCTTGTTGTCCTAGCAAGGGACTCAACCCAAGCACCTGAGGCTCCAAAAGGTGAGAGACCAGTGCAATAGCATTTGACATGGGCTGAGGCGCTCTGGGGCTTGCCCGAGAGGAGAAGGGCATCCACCTTTGAGAAACGAGAAGTTGCACAAAGGTGTGAGCAGCCACCAAGCAAGAAACATCTAGTCGCAATTTGAGAGCTCCTCAAGTACTTTAAAGACTGCCTCTTAAGCATTTCTTTCCTTTAGTAGAACTGTCCTTATGAGCACAACATTCCTGTTGAAGATAATTGTAAAAGTCTTGTTCTTTACTGTGTCAGAAAGGGTTTTTTTGGGGTGGCAGTGAAGATAACTTCTGTCATATTGGAAAGTGTTTTACCTAATAATTGTCTAGTAATTAATAAGACCTTGAACCAGTAGACAAATCACTTCATCCTCTCAGAAGTCTCAATCTGAATGTACTCCAAAATGATTAAGCACTTTCCGATATAAAGTGTAATTATTAAAGAGCTGTCTGAAAATGCACTCAATATAAGAAGAGAATATCTTTAATATAATGATACTAATTGACCTCACCTTTTTCATTTCTTCATAGGTAACAAAGAGTATATTGAAATCCTCTGCATGACTGCACCAGCCTTCAACATGATCTAGCCACGAACTGGCAAGTACTTAGGAAGCAAAATTATTAAAACAAAAAAATAAAGATAAATACTATTAAGAACTAGCAGTAAAACAGTAAAATTAATGGTATTTTAGGTCTTTGAAAGGGTGGTTTTTGTTTTAAATAATTTTTTTTGATCATTTGAGGGATGCGTGCTCACAGTCTTTGTGACAATTCTCCAAGTCAACATGACAAATTCCCTTTGGGTTACTAGGAACACTAGTAATCTGAATTAATACCCGCAGAAGCAAAAAACCCACTTCTGTATCTGCTGTACAGTGTCTGTCTTATGGGTTCAGCTCCACTAACCAAGTGCAGAAAGTGTTAAGAGACTTTCAGTCATAATGGTTGTATTCTGAATCAGCATCCAGTTCAGATAAAATAAGTAGCTTGCATGTCGTTGGGGAGCAGCAAAGCCATGACTATGCTACTCCCTTTGGACCAGCTTTCATCAGAAAATTATGTCAAGCTCAGACAGCCTCTGCAGCTTTGGATTCAAGTTACTGCATATCTGAGGATTCTGATAATTGGTATTTAGTGATATAATTAATCTTCATTCAATCTGAGGTCATAGAGTAGGATTTGGGCTCCTTAGTAAAAAAAAGATATCCTACCTTTACCAGCTAAAAATCTCTCCATAAAAAGGTTAAAATCTGGTATTTCCTCTAATGAGCAGATGTATTTGGAGAAGTGGTAGAAAGAGACCATAACATCCTTAGGGTTCCTGGTAACATAAATAACCTGCAAAACAATAAGAAGACTAGTCTTAGAGATATTAAAGGACTCCATTACCCTGACCATGAGTGCATTTTTCTGTACAGGTCCCACTTAAAATGTGTGAAAACCATTTGAAGGTTGACAATCACATTAGGTAAATTCTGCATAAGGTAGTGCTGTCAATTTGTTTACAGGTGGTATTTCTGTAGTTGTAGTCATTCAGTGGCAGCGGCTAAATCTCTTGCAAACTTCACTGGTACTGTGAAGAAAATGGTGAGCATATTGCAGTTTCCCGTTACACCTGTATCTGTGAAAAAGGTAACAGCAGCTCTAAGAACTTTGCCTCCATAGCCCCTGTGGGCAGAGCTCTGCCACAGCAATGCTCACTGAGTCGTGGGAAGCCCTACATCAGAAGTAAGGATGGAAGGGGCAGAAGTCATCAGGACCACTATAGGAAAGACTAGCAGAAGTTTGAGGTCCTTCACCAGGCAGCAAAGTTACAATTTGCTGTAAGGAATGTAAGGCAATTCTCAGTGTGCTGTTAGAAGTATATATCCCATATACATCTTCAGACTTGCCCATATGTCCGTGTTCTGTTAGTGAACCTTAGCTTGGTTACACCTGTCTCTAAGGAGGCATTTTCCATGGGCGACAGGCCCTGAGCTATGGCACAGTTCACAATGGAGAGTCCTATTTAGAAACTCACAGTCCTAGGAAGCAAGAAAATGCAGTTCTCACATTCCCTCCTACCTACTATAGTCCTACTCATATTTTCAGTGTGGGAGACTTTTTTTCAGATTTATAAGTTCACTGGAATAGGACATTTTCGCAAGGGGAAAATCAGTGCAAGTCTTTGACCCTGGCAGATCCTCCTAAAATGTATCACCCCTCTCGCTAACAGTGTTGGAGCTGAAAGGAAACAGAAGAAATGGGCTTTAGAACATCCCTGACCTCCCCACGTATATGAAGCAGGTGATATTTATTCCAAGACGTGGAGAACTGAAAGATGAAAATAGTAGGATTTGGACCAATTCACTGAGGCAAAATGGCATGATTGGTTTTAAGGAAATTGTAAAAACAGCATCACTTACACGTCCTCTTTTTCTTCTCAGGTCTCTTGGAAGTAAGTAGTAAGGCAGGTGGGTGGCAAAAACACGAGGCAAAGGAAGATCTGCATAATCCCTATCTTTTGTGTTGTATTCCAGCCATGGGATTCTTTCCATGGTCTCCATATTTTCCGTTCCGTTACGGTGGCCTTCATGAATTATTAAGCTCAAAATGTTCTGAGTCCAAACAGTTCCTGAGAAGGAAACCTTTATATTTGAACCTTGCTTGAATTTTTTTTTTTTTTTAATTAAAGATAGTATATTGTCGTAAACAGAGCCTCTGCACTGCTATAATGAGTTTCACTTTTTGAATACAAATACAACTTCACATACTGAAGAAAGCAAACATTGTCGTGGTGACTGTTGACTGCAGAATGGAAGCATATTTTTGTTTTGTCCCTTCAGAAAAGCCAAGGACAGTAACTAAACCTTCACTTCCTTCACCCAGTATACTCAGCTTCCATACAAACTATGTCTGTCCTCATCCTCTTGTGGGACTATGAATTGCTGCATCTCTGTAGACCACACTCCTAAAAATACCTCATAATGCGTGGATTTGGAAAAGCACACACGAGCCCCACAAAGCAAATGTTTGTGGCAAGAGGGTCTCTAAAGTTCCTTGGGGAAGGTCTGACTCCTGAGTCACAGCTGCTGACAATGATGATCTATGAAGGTAGGACCCTGCAGGTGACTGACTGCTGTGCCAGTATGTGTTCATGTGCCAGGTGGTAATGGCAGGAGGAAAATCCTGAGTGATTAGCCCACTTGGGCAATAAGCAGAACTGTTTAACTCCAGGTCCTCTGGCCTTCTCAGCCCTATACTAGTCCTGGTTCCTTTCCCCTTTTATACCATAGGCCAGTAAAGATGGACTCTTGAGAGCATTCAAACCAATGTAGAAGAGTACTGAATTACTGCTGTAGGTTACCCTGAACAAGCAGAGAGAAAGGAAGGCATCTGAAACTGAAGCCTAGTTGTTCAGACCTCACCTGGGAAGGAATCTCTTCATTCTGGAGATTAGACTGTAGTCATGTTGTAGATATAATGTCACTGGGCAAGAAAAAGAAATAGCCCTAGGATTCACAGGAACAATACTTAGTGATTTCACAGCTGTGTTGACTGTCTTGCTCTGCTTGGCATAATCATGCTGGACAATTTTTCTGTGCAGCGGTAAAGATTCAACAGAAGGTTTAGAGGGTACCTTAGATTGATAACTGGTGAGGAAGAAACAGGATGGTGGGGCAGGATAGAGGGAAAGATGAGAATGAGAGATGACATTCTGTGCAATTCATAACTCAAAATCATGTTCCAATTCCTTCCTGTCCCAAGGTAGCCCATCACTTTGCAACATGAAACTCTTACTTCCAGAGATGTGCTCATCTCAGTGCCATAAGATCTTTACCTCTTAAACACTGCCGCCTTGTCCTCCTTCTCTGCCTTACTCAGACAGCTCACCCCAGTGCTGCCTGATGATGAGCTAGCATTGCCTGGGCTCACAGTCCCCTCTCTTTGTTGTCCACAACCCCTTCACAGGCTTCTTGTATCACATCTGCCTTCACTACGACCACACCTGGTGTTCCCTGCCAGTCGATCTGGGCTTCGCTCAAGAATGCCTTTCTACCTCAGCTACTTCACTGAATACCGGAGGGAATAGTGAATTCCAGCAAGGTGTTCTGTGACTCTAGGAAAAGGACATATGCTAACAAAACACCTGTTATATTATGCAAAGGCTGCATCTTGAAGGCTGCTGAAGAACACCAAAGGATAATGGCAGAGGTTTCCAACAGCACAAACAGCAGAGGCCTTAAAAGTACAAGCATGGATTGGTACCAGAGATGGCAAGGCTTTAGTCATAAATCACTGCTTCATGCGTGATCAAGTCATTAGTTACTAATAACTTATGAAATGCAGTCTTGAAAAATGGCTAACCAGTTTTAAAGCATCAAGTGAACCTGTATGGAAACATGTCAAGGCTTTGGATCTCTAAGATTACAGTGGAACTAGCTGATTGCTCAGTTGCATTTGCTTCAGAAATAGGAATGCAAAATTCATCACACTAGTGTCTGCATTGCTATGTGGGTAAATAGTACTTCTTTGTCCTTGAAAGGCTTATAGCATTGACTCACATTCGCTCTGATCTCCTGCTTGGTTGCAATTTGGATGCAGCAACCCCCAAACCACCTTCCATGTGAGCCCACGAATCATTCCAGACACCCCACAGTCATCTCCAACACTCATGCACCCAGCCCTGCCAAAACTATATATGTGTTTTGTGAGGTAAAGGAGGTCAGTTTGGGTTTTGTGTAGCTTGCTCTGAGTACACCTACAAGATGGAGTCCAAGAATGAGGCAGACCAATTCGGTTGGACACAAGCGGGAACCTTGTGTCTGGCTGTTCAGGCCACAGCTATGCAGGTTTGTACTTAATGCTACACTGCATATACTGAGAGATGATTCACGTCCAAAATAAAAACTAACAACCCTAGGTATTTCTGCAGTTAGATGGCTGAATAAAGGCAGATTTTCCCCCTCTTTAGAAACCATTCCATTCTTACCTGATTTGGGGTAAGTAGCTATAAATATGTCACTATCATTGATTTCAAAATCCTCCAGGGAAGCTACGTACTCAGGTGAAGTTTCAACACTAAAATAAAAGCCTTTGTATTCAAATAGGTATTTTTTTTGTTGTTCCATTGTTAATCTGTTGTTATAGGTGAATAACCTGCAATAAGAAAATACAAAGTTATATCTTTTTCAAGATATAACTTTATATCTTATTATATCTTGTTCAACAAACAAAGAGCAAATCAAATAAAGATTCATTAGCAAAACGCATTTCAGCAAAATTCTGGAAATAATACACTGAAATTTAGCTTTCAAATTTTCGCAATCATATTACTTGGGATACATTTCTAATTAAAAAAAAAAAAAAAAGGAAGGTGTAGAGCAATACTCTTTATTCATATACAGATGTATGCTACCTGCAAATAAAAACTAATGTCACTGAAGGCAACCTATATAAAAATAATTTGTAAAGATTCCTCTAGGATCTGAATGACTTTGGGATGTTAATAACTCTTGAACAGAGCTAGCTTAACTACCAAGCTCTCATTCTGGAATTTGTGACTGAAACTGCTAAAAATGTCTTCTTACAATTTCTGCCTCCTTCTACTTATTCTCTCATTGCTAATGTTTCTCCAATAGTAAAATATAATTTCTGCAAACAGGTAATCATGAACATGTGTTTATTTCTTAAACATATCTGCTGGTTTTATGAGATTGTGTCTCATTAACACCATTGCCATATATTTCCCAGAAAAAGACATTAATTGTCATTGTTGCATTGTTGTGACTAGGGAATAACAAATGCTTGAGGAGATACAGGCAGAGTAAAAGAGAGACCGAAGAGAGAGACTGACTCTTGTAGCTGAGCCAGAGCCAAATGGAGCGTCTAGATTTGAAGATTTTGGTCTGTGTCTCTTCTGCAGTCATTGAGCTGAGTGATACATCCATGGATTTTGGTAAGCTTAACATCCCAGTCTCTCCCTCCCTGATCTCTAGATGAACTATTTAATACCATTAGACAATGTACAAGCCTTGGCAGAAATGACGTAAGCAAGCTCACTTCCAGACTTGGATATCACAAGCATTGTCTTATGTGGGTGAAAATTTACACTCACATAAGACACCTATTAACACCCACACTTGGTATTGTTAGCAAAAAAAATCCTTTGCTTTGGGAGACGCACGAGATCAGTTCTACTGCCAAAGATTCATGGGCAAAGAAATGTGGCTGAATGTCTCCTTCCTGGGAGCACCCGCCCCTGTGCTTGTGCTGCCCTCTCTCCACCAGTGCTGGTGGCATGGGCCATGGCCGGGCAGGTGGGGACGGAGGGCAGCGAGGGGAATCACCGCTGAGTGTGGTGAGGGGCTGCCTGCCTCATCTCATGGCGACAGGCACCGCCCGCATCAAAGCCTGTGAGGTGCTTCAGCTTCCCATCAAAGCCTGTGTTTCACCGAGTGAAACAGCCCCCAATGAATCAGTGCTCTAAATGGAGAAACACCCATGTTTAGAAATGAAGGGATTAGTACAGTTTTAAATTCAAGCTGTGATACCAAAGCTGGGGAAGTCCTAAGAGCGCAAAGATATGGAGAAGGAGTGAAAAAATGTTAGTGATACAGGAGAAAGAGCCAGGAATTTGTGGAAAACAAAAAGTGGACACATTCAATGCACAGCATACAGAAACCTTCTTGATCTTGTTCTGGCAAAACATGAGTTTTTACATTACTTTGGAACAAAGGTTATTGCACTGCTTGTTTCTTACAGATGTATAAATATACCATGAAAAAATATACCATGCAAAAAAAATCCTTGCCCTGTTTCCTGGAAAGCCTATTCATAATCTGCTGTATATGATGGAAGAAAAATTAAACTTTCAGGTATGCTCGTACCAGCCAGATATGCATCTCAAAAATGTATCTCAAAAATCTACCTCCCACAAAGGTGTCTGCCAGTTCATCTCCTAAATCCACAGTGACCACACACTTTTACTCTGCTTAGTTAATTATCTCACAGCTACAACTCCAATTTCTTTGTTGAATGATACAGAAAAGCCCATGCAAGACTCCAGTTTCCACACCAGCACTGAGATAACTGCTCTGGACAGCTGTCTTCCTCTCAAACATGGACCACCTCTAGCCCCTAGCTCTCTGCAACTCTTTCTGGCAGTACATGCCAAAATGGTCTACAAAAGAGTTCTATGTACAATTATTATTATTTTACTGAGAGGATAATAGAGCATCATTTAACTCAGAGATCTACTGTTCTAATAATTTCAGGCATACTTACCTCCCTCACTCTCTGTTCGGTGCCCATGGAGAGGTGTGCTACTACTTCCCAACTCGATGAATACGAATAACTCCTGAGCTGAATAAGAGTAACTCTAGAGAAGCCTGAGCCGTCACGTTTCCCTTTTAACTGAGATGTGAACCCACAGACACTATGCTGATTGGCTTGCTTTCAATATTGGCTTATCTTTAATGCAAACAGAGATTAGAAAACTTATATAACTTGCAAAAAAAACTAAACCAGTCCAGAAAGATTTTTGAAATTATTTAAATGCTCATTTTGATTACTGTTCCTCCTTTTTTTTTATCAACAGCATTACTGAAGAAGATTGGAGAGGGCCAGAAGTGAATAAAATCTTTTGCTTTTTTCTATGTTTTGGGTTTTTTTTTCTCACCTTTCACTTCTTCTCAAATTGGTTTTTATCTTCAAGCAAAGTGTGACAGTAGTCCCAAAGAGTAGCCTGAATCCACTACTCCACTGAAGTAGTTGATCAGACCATTTCAAACTGATCTCAGCCATGAGCCTGGAATGAGCTGCTTGGGTTAGTCATGTATATGGCTGGGTTCATGTTAAGTTTTTCTGTGAGGTATTTTATAACTGAAATTAAACAATGCCTGAGACATTTCTCACTGAAACCTGCACTACAGCAACAAGACAAAGAACTTTTTGTTCCCCAGTTCTGCACTGTTTTGTATAGGATTACTTTTTAACCTGAATCAAATCCTCAGATAGTCCCTGAGCTTGCACAACCGATCAGTCAGGTTGATCAGCATACGAATGAGCCAGAAAGAGGAGTAGGGTTGAGGTTTTTTTAATCACAGAGGAAACCATTACAGTGAAAGATGAAGCCTGTTCTGCTTTGCTTTCTGCATGCCAATCAGGCCTGCCTCTAGTATCCTGTAACTGCAATTTCTATTCTAAGTGTTTAATAATAATTAAAGACAACTTCTTTTGATCCCAAAACTAGATAGGGAGGTGCTCCACCAGATGTTCCAGCCCTGGCACATTGCTCCGAAGAATCCGAAGAGTAACAACTATGGTCCCACATCAGCTTTGTGAACTAGCTGGAGAGCTTGTTGGCAAGGTGTGAGTTAGGGCAAGAATCAATATTTTCCAGTGAAAAGAAATAGCGTGTAAATCCATTTGGCCTTTGGACAGATAGTGAGTGGGGAAAGCGTATGAATCCTAAGAATATTGTAAAATGACAGCATCCCAAAGTTAGGATTTGTCCCTGCTTGTCAGTAACCCTGAACTATGGTCTATCTGCAGTTAACTGAACATAGGTTTCATGTGTATTATCTTTTTCGGGATAAATAGTCCATCCACTGCAATATTAATAATTAACTTTGGGATCCAAATGTCTAACATATATTTATATTGCAGGTGAAGTTGCACACTGTTCAGTGGGGGACTGGGAAAGGAGATGTATGATTTATTGTATAATTTAAAAAACCCCAGTGTTCTCGGTGCTATATTAACCTCTTATGTCCTTCTCTGGTTGTTTCCTCTGGTACTTCACACCAATACATTTCTGTTCATACTAATCATAGTTCTTTCACAAGCCTCTACAGTGACAGCAAACTGGTGTAGCTCTGAAGTTCCCTATACTGACAATAGACAGGTCTCCTGCCTACCTATACTGTAAAATTAAAATGTAAAGTAAATGCCTAAATAAAACACATGGAATTCCACAATCAGTTTCATATAAGTTTTTGCAAAATACATTCAAAATGTCATAGCAAAAAAAGGGTAACTAAATTAGACCACTTCAACACTCATTTTAGGAATCTGCATAGGAACAGACAGTTGCCCACCAAATGGGGAAAAAAAAAAAAAAAAGGGTTTGTAAGGCATTCCTTTATTTTAGACTTGCCTCAGGTACTATTATGTATCAGTAACATCTACTACTGACATTGCATAAAATCCACTCTGAAGATACATGGTACCTGAATTACTAGAGAACATCTTCAAAAGTTAGCATTACCTGAGGGCCACAGTCAGTGTGGAAAGCTAAATGTGAATACTGTGTCTGCTCCTTCCTACAGGATTTCTGTCACTGGCACACTTTGCCTCCCTCTTTCTTTCATTCCTGTAATTCACAACTGAATGTGTTTTACCTGTGTATCTTATATCCTAACTCCCAAGTTCAGCGAAGTGGCAGGGGGATTTTGGGTTGACACAACAATTCTTAAACACCATGAAACAGGTTTGTCTTGGGAAGATAAGGTGTTTGGATAGTTTCGTTTGTGTATCCCCACGAACACACCAGAGCAAGATTCCAGCAGAGATGCTTAAACAAGTGTTGTTAATTTGAGGGTACATTTTTTCTTTCTCTGAGAGACAGTTTTCTCTCTGATAGCCATTAGTTTGTGTTTTGTACCACAAATTTTCGAGCTAGAAAGAAGGAAGAGTTTGGTGCATTTTACACTGCAGAAACATGCAGAAAAAAAACATGGTGAAACTGAGGCCTGAAAAGCTTTTAAAAGAGTTACAGGGATGGTGTCAAAGCCATACAGCTCCAAATGTACATGCTGCATAGCAGAAATCACACACTTTCACATACCAAGAATAGCACGTGAAAAGATGTTGCCAGGGCAAAGTGTATAGGCAGTGACAAAGAAGATTGGATTAATTTTCCTCAGCAAAGGGTAGAGAATGGTCAGCTAGAGACCTTTATTAGTTGGTGAAGTAAATTCTGAATTTTGTACTATTATGTGTATTATTTGCGTGTTTTAATTTGCAGCTATGTGTTAGTTATCTTCTGGAAAAGCAAAGTAATTAACATAAATTTCAGTGACTTAAATGTGGGCAAGCTGTGAGTACTTGCTCCAGGACTCATGCGCTCCAGGGGGTATGTCAGTAAATGTGAATTTCCATGCTGATTCAAATGGATCAAAAAAACCTCTAGAAAACACACTAGTCCAGCTAACACAAAAAAAAAAAAAAAAAAAAAAAAACTTGATTAATATTTTTCAGTCTTTAGATACAAAATAATTTTACAAAGTTAAGCTCACAGGAAATGGGATTAATCTGGAGTAACACCTTGGGAAGGAAAGTGTGAGTAAAAGGACAGGAGGTAGTCTAGAAAAGATAATTTTTGTGGGGTTTTTTGCTATTTTTTTACTAGATTCTGACCCCCTGCTTCAGTACATAACTAGTAATGAAGGTCAGGGTTCTCAAAATATATAAAATGAAGAATAATATCAGCTATTTAAACAAAGCAGGCTAACAGTCTGAGTACAGGATTCCCCTCTTCTAGTTTCGAAGATAGTGTCTTCCTTTTGACTATGAGGATTTGACTAGTGCTGCATTATAACCAATTTTTCATAGGTTCTGATTTTATTGGGACATGAAAGTCATAACCAAACTTAAAAATTAAAAAAGAGTGTGTTAAATTTTGAATGGAGAATCTGAAAACATCATGCCCATGAAAGCAACCCTCAACCGGAAAACAGCTTGTTAAAAACTATAATGACTTTTTTCCAACAATTTAATATATTAAAATCCACTAGGGTAAGAAGAAACTGAGAGAAATATTAGAATTTTATAAGCAAAAAATTTTGTAAAATATGTCGGGCAAAATAAAATATGTGACAAAGCTAATGATATGACAATAAAATCGCCTTTGAATTAGACCTAAAACTCTCTACTTTAACAAAGCCTAGACACTTATTTTAGCTAGAACTGAGCATTGAACTGCCCATTTCATACACCACTATGGAGTCATGTTCTTGCATTTCCTGCCTTATAGTAAAATATGCTTGGGGTCAGTTATACAGTTCACATTTGTGTGTGTGTTTTAACAGAAATTAAAAAAATAAAAACAAACCCAACTTGAAAAGCCCAGGGATTGAAGACCGTGATGTTCTCTTCCCTAAATTGGAATAAAGATCTCAAATCCTTCCAATTGCTTTGCATGACCAGTAGCTGAAAAGCATTACACCATCTACACAGTTTTTCTGTATGCATAGCAAAAATTATCAACTAGATATCTTATTACTTCTGTGTTGGCTATTCCCCTCTAAAATTTCTTTACCTTCTTCACAAGCCTCCACCTTCTCAAGAACCATTTAAAGTGTTTTAATGTCTTACACTATTACACAATTGTAATATTGTTTTCTTAACCCTGTTACACTTTCTCATATTCAAGACATTTATGCTTGTCTTTTACAGCTCTGCTTTTCTCCTTTTAGCCTGATTCAACTTCTGCTATATCAGCTTGACACTCTTGTTTGCCATTTGAATAAAAGCCTTTGTCCTTGAATCTGTTTGGGAAGACCTTGTAGTTTGCATTGGGATCAGTTTTTGTATCTTTGAATGTAACATGCTCCCACCACAGTCTCTGGTTCATCTTTTATTCAGATTTTTTTCTTCAGAGCTGTAGATTTTCAACACAGCATCTCTCAGATCCTGCAAAGGAAGGAGTATATGGGAACTGGAGGAGTATACCATTAAACATCCCATTATACTCCATTCAAGACCAGGTTTATCAAGGCACTTTGACATTTTACCTCTCAGTACCACTTTGAACAATGTTAAGTGCCAAAACCTATGTTTTGTAAAGAGGAACTCTGTATCTCTGGATTAGAACCAATTAATAGAATAATCTTTGTATGCTAAGTCTGTCAACTTTGAGACTATTCTCCAGATGACATGATGGGCTAATGCTGAATTTTTTCTTTAAAATCTTCTTTTTTTTTCCCCCTTAAAATTCTACAAACTCTCCAGTTTGTTAAACCACTGCAAAGGACAAGTTTCTGTGGAACTTAAGCTAGGACATCACAAACCCACAAAAATCAGAGCTGTAATCTTGTGGCCACTAGCTGTCCGTAGAGGAATGAAAAATATTACCCCACCATAAACTGCTGAACATCTAAGAATGAGGACAAGACTCTGCATGTTTTTCACTGATAAGCCTTGCACACTGTGATCCCACTTAGAATACGATTTGTCCTACGTTATCATATAGCCAACAGTCCAGTAAAAGTTGCAGCTCATTGCCTACATTGCACTGTATGTTTGAGGTGAAAGGTAAATGAGAAAAAAGCTGTAGTGAAAACATGATAGGAAATTTATCCCTGTGAGGAAAAATACTGCCTCAAAAGTGCACAGAAAAGAAAATTGCAAACTACAGATAATAGAATTCACTCCATAGCCCTACTGAGGATAGCAAGGGAAGAGACTGGAAAGGTGACAAAAATCCTTAGTTGTTTATTGTGTCACTATCATGCTATTATTTTTATCAATTATAGCTTATTTAATTATTCTTCTGTTACAGATGATTCACATCTTTTAACAAATATATTCTCTTGTCACCACTGCCTAGTTCATGGATGGATCATATCATGAATCTGAGACTGATACAGCCACAGATATCACTTCAAGTATCCTCTTCCTTACCCTCAAGGAAATTAAGAGGGGGAACGAACATCATTTATAACATATATAATATAACATAATATAACATATAACATAACAATGAATATCACTTAACACATTTTAACTATTTTTAATTTGCTCAGAAAACATAATATACAAGAGACAGAAATATATAAGGTATTGATCTGATTTACATAAAGTTTTTGGGAAAAAATAACTGTAAGTAACTATCAAATTAAGAACCAGGTAGTG